TTTTTTTTTTACTGGGGGAGGGAAAAGACGGGGTGGTGAGAAGATGCTATTGCCGGTGCCGAGAGAAAACCCGGTGTTCCTCTCGAGTGCAGCTGCTGCTAAACACGTAGGCACAAGCACGATGCCTTATGCTGCTATCAAAAAAAGAAAGATGGAAAAAAATSAGCGGCACAGTCAAATTGATGCTTTGCCTCGAAATACACTTTTCTTTTACAGCAACAAGTGGCGCAGGCTTCTCTGCCCCCTCTGCTTCTCTTCCCCCTCCCGCCTTCAGCCCGTCCTGACAAAATGCCAGCGGAGAAAGGTCAGTCCTTTCACGTAAAGATCACTGTGTTTCTTAGCGGAGACTGCTGCACATCACGCCTGCAGTGACTATCAAGCAGACTCGGGGAGCTGGGATGAGCTGGTGGGAGCGATAAATCCCGGAGGGAACGCGGCACCCGAACGTGACGCTGCTTTGTGAATGGGAGATGGGAGCAGCGCCACGACGGCCATGTGCTGCCCCGTCGCAGCCTGCAAGATCCACTGCAATTTCATTATTATTGTTATTAAGAGCCTTGCTGTTACACTAATGCCTTTCCTCTCTTCTCTTTAGGTTTCCTGCTAGCCCTAATGATGTCCTGGGCTGAACATCTGCAGCCTCCTTGTGCCGAACGCAGATCAGCTCATCTCCCTTCTCTCCGCGACCCCCTAAAATGAGACCTTTCTATTACTAGGCTCTGGCTTAGACTCTGCGTGATTAGATTGAGTTTTCGTTTCACAGCATGTCTAGATGCAGTGGACACAGCCTGCTCTGTATTTCTTAGCAGTCTTTCCCATCCTGCTTACTACTGTCACCTAGTAATAAGTTTTAACCAGTGCAACTTGGCTTTCTTGGCTAGCAGCACCTCTTCTGGCCTTTTCTCTCCTTTAAATGGAATGAGGATATTCTGATGCAGTTCTCTATGATATATATTTTCCACACCAGAAAAAAAAAAAAAAAAAAAGGTCTCATGGAGTTAACACCTATTTTCCACAGGTGTTAATTAATTGTTGCCACAATTGCCACAAGTCGGTTCCATTTTACTTCCTAAAATAGTCCTTAAGTAGAATTCAAGTGTTGCAGAGGACTTTTTTTAGGCTTTTTGCTCAATGGCGTTAATAGTACATGACCTTAACATGAATATTATGAAATATCATCCTAGGGCAGAACAGCAAAACCCACAAGCAATGGACCTAAAAGTACMTGAATGGTGCAAGAACTGATACCACTCACTGAAAATCCTTAAGTTAAGCTGGTCACCCAGTCTCAACAGAGGATGGTGRCCCTCAACTGCAGGTCGTTAGACTACAACTAAATACAGGTGTGCACCTGTGTGGGTCAATTCTCACCACAACAGGATGAGCTTGGATGTTAGGTGCAAAACAACCTTTGGAGGCTCCTTCTTCCAGAACTTGCTGCATGTTTCTTCTTGGCTATGGAAACGGTGTGCAATTTATGACACCAGTTCAGCAGTTCCCCTTAGTTTGCAGCTTGCAAACCCCTTATGCAAACAATATTGTCACCTTCTTAAGGCGCCCTGCTCCTGCTTATAATGAATTCTTTGCATGCCGCTCTGCTGTAAATTCTCCATCTAAAATTTCCATCCACTTCATGTCTTGTCGGGGGAAACCACACTTGACTTCCAAAACAGCTGGGAGGAGCAAATTGATAACCTCCTAACGTGCTTTGCCCTCCACTGAAATTATGACAAAGTAATTAAAGTTAAAGCAAAAAGGCTCAAACTCTGGACCGCTTATGTTATTAGTGTTTTTGCATGGGTGAGATCTTTTCAGAAGTCTGATTTGAATGTCAAATTTGCATATGAAGCCAGAAAACGTAGGGAATGCTTAATTGCTGCCTGTGTCCAGAGTTCAGATTTTGCCTTGAAAACCATGTGTCACATATTGCTGGGTTTCATTTCTGGCTGCTGTTTGAGTGCTTCCATAAAGTGAACTGAGCATCTAAATAAGGCTGTTGCTTGCTCATTATAGAAACACGTATTCTGTGTTTAGTATTCTGTTTCGTACACGCATTTTGACCCATATGCTTTTACTTTAGCAAATGAGATGATTCACTTGAATAAAGTTATGCCCACTGACTTTTTGCTTTCTTGCAGGGGAGTTTCTTGTTAAGATTCCCCAGTGTTTAACTTAAAGTGGAATTCATAGACACTGTTGAATTTCCTTAATTTCTCCCCCCAAAATTAAATGAAAAAGATCCAGCGTTAGCAAAGATTGCGATGATTGCTTCTCCATGGCTGGGATGGTCCACGCTACAGCACCAGAAGAGATGTCTTATGAGAGTAGTGCAGCGCATCCCTCTACTAGTTGACACGTTGGACATCAAGTAGAGGTTGTGCGTCCATTTAAACACGTCAACTTCACAAGCACAGTGAGAAGCACCACCCAAAACTTTTAGATGTTTGCAGAGCACCAGAAAGTATTCCCAGAGTCCTTGTGTTTCAATCCAGAGGCCCTAAATCTTGTCTTCAGCTCCTATCCCCACCTAAGTGCCTTCACACACATCTGAATAAAGTCTAGCTGTTATTGTTGTGCTACTTCTGTGTGATCAGAACTGAGTCCTTTCCAGACAAGGTGGAGTATTAACGCTAAAAAATCCCAACCSCAGAAAGGTTAGTCTGCCATGTACTCAAATCAATGAAGGAGCACAGAAGAAGCATTGGCATGAATGGAAGACTCTTTCAGGTATTTTCTGCCGTGCACAGAAAAGAGAGAGACCCATAAGATTTATGGAAGTTGTATCTGATACATCACCAAAAGACAGACTTCCTATGAACTATAACAAATGCCAATCTGTATTGGAGATGGAGGAGATCCTGACTATAATCTATAGGTTTTCTCTTTATGAATTTTTGCAGAAGTAAGATATGTTTGCCAGAGCACATGAAAGAAAATTTCTGTGCCCTGAAAAGGGAACAAGAACCAGTTACCAGTGAAAATCTCCATTGACGCTCGGCAGTGTCAAGGAATTACACACCAGTGAAGTAGAGTGTTGCAGGATGGCTATGCCAGGAAGAAAAAGGGCATGTAGAAAAAGCAATTTGCATTTGGAAAATAGATTATTTTACAGATATTAGTTCAAATTGATAGTCATTCCCTGAATAACGTCTGGTGCATTATCTCAATAGATGTGGTTATCTCCCTTAGAAATGAGCTGAGCAAAAGATCTGTAGCAAGATTTGAAAATAACCTTTGTTATTATATGCCATTACCTCATACGAATCAAAATACATGGGCCTCTAATGACAATGAACAAGAACAATACAGTGTCTTGAACAATCTGTTCAATGTATTTCCACTCTCTACCATACATTTAAAATACAGCAACATTGCAAGCATTTATCATATGTCTGGACTACGGGAGCTAATGAGACAGAAAAAAAAAAAGAAAAAACATGAAGAATTTGGAGGGATGAGCTCCATTTACTTAATTTCCAACTCCAACATAATGATATGAAAAGTAAGTAACGCACGTATGAGGTCCTTTTCTACAGTTCTTGCCATGGCTTGGGTCATTATGGAGCACAGCAGGTCTTCTTTTGTCAGCGGCAGCCCAGATTTAGATTAGAAAGATCTCAAGTGTTCTTCTCAGTCRCCAAGGAGAGCAAGTAGGAATAAAAAGGGTGTCTCTTACTCCGTTTATTTTGTTATAGTCCCCATTTATCACAATTGTGGAGCACAAAGCCCAGATTTATTTTGCTCTAGAATCTGCTTAGTTTTAAGCATTGGCTTAAGTATTTCAGCAAACTAAGGTGGCCTGTGTTCTGCTCACTCTTGAGCCTGTGTTTTGTTGAATCACATGGCTGCAGTAATTTCTACATTTGAGGTGGTAAATGCCCTTATCGCAAGCCCAAGGATTTCAGTTGCATCTTTTGTTAATGACATAGACATGAAAACAAGTTTAGATTCAGAGCTCGATCCAGAAAATGTGTACATTCAGGTTGGAGTTTGCTGCCACATTTTTGCTCAACCTTAGAAATAACATTCACTTATGGGCAGAAAACTCTGACATGGCAGAATATTAAGACATGTTCTGGGAGAGCCAAGATCTCCTAGGCTCACTTCTTTGGGATGTTTTACTCCTTAATGGCTAAGAGCTCTACCTTATTGTGCACTTGCCTCTATGCCTAGTTGTGTCAAGCTGGTCCCATAGAAGAATAGACATGGGTCCCTTTTTTCCCATTTGCTTTTCCATGAGAAGCAACCCAAAACATCCACTTTGTGCTGGATCTTTTGCATCCTCACTGCCCTGCCTTGCAGTTTTGTTGGCCAGTGGAGGTCAGCTTGATAGCTCACCTTTTCACTGGACCTGAGAACATTTGCTCAGCTTCATCTTTCTCTTTCTACATCCCATTTTCTGAAGAGATTCAGCAGTCAAGTCCACTGAATAATTCTTAATCAGCTCCTGTTATAAATATATTTCCTGTCCTGTATAAAATCATGTAATTGCCTAAACACCTTGTGTTGACTCAACACTTCTAATTCTTCCAGTGTGTCCCATCCTTACAATACCCAGTCCGTTTCATTTTGAAATGTCTACAAAGAGACAAGCTTTGCAAAATGCATGCATACTCAGGAGACCTTAATTTTTTTTTCCAAATGCTAAACGCTTCTTTGGACCAGCAGGAGAAAATGCTTCCAAATATTTTTAAAATTTCTCATTMTTTCAGCACTGTGGCTCATTTATCTGAGATATTTGTATGTAGCTGGTCTTTTTTATAGCACAAGGTACCCTAAGCGTCAGCTGGTAATAAGGTTCCTGCTAAAGAAAGAAATACTTCATGCTCTTCACAAGTGATTAGGGTGCACTTTGCATTGGCTTGGTTAAACAATTTCTCTTCCTATAGGGCTGTAAAGTGAGCAAGCAGCAAATACAAATTCCTGTGCAAAGTTTGCCAGCRTATCCACAGTTTTTACAATGGTCCTGGGAGTATTTTTCGCCCTCAAATCAGCAATTGGAACGATGAAGTCATTTTGAGTTATGCTGTTTCTTAATGGGCTCTTTGCATGGTAATTACTGTATCATCACCTGCAACATATTGCAGGGCTGGAAAATTAAACTATTGTCTGAGCAGGTTTTTTACAAGTTTTTTTTTTTTTTTTTTCCCTTCAGGATAACTAAAGTAGGCTTACAGGGATCCTACTGGCCATTCCATGAAAATCTACTTCTAATCCCAAACTTGTTCTCTTCCTTCTTGGATGCTTCCCAGGATTATTTATATATAATTATTGCATTCTAGTGTACCATTTATATTTAATCCTCACTCAAAGCATTTCACTGAAATGACTGATGTCCCCAGCCAGCCTCAAATATACCTTTGGCTTGGTCACAAGCAATTCTTCACAGGGGTAAATATATAATCTGGCACATGCTCCCCCTAAAATATTAAAAACATCCAATCTCTGCTAGCTTGAAAAAGATTCTTTAAAAGTTCTTTCCATAATATTTCATGAGTACAGTGAGATTTCTCATCACATTCATAATTCTGCACCACTGAGGCTGGTAAAAACTTTATATGAATCAGGCAGAAGGAGAATTGACTTTCTAGGTGTACTTCCAGCAAGACAAAGGAGAACCTACTCTCAAAACAAGGGTCTTGATTTTACCTGGTGCTTTTCTCAGCGCTTAAATAGAGGGTTTGTCTTTGCTCAGGTGCTTATGAGCTGCTTTGAGCAGAAGTGGATTCAAAAATGTGCCTGAGTGCTTTCCTGAACTGCAGCCAAAATCTATACGTAAATGAAAGAGAGTCTTTCTGAGTTTATTGTAAAGATATTATTGGTGAAAAAAAGAAAAGAAAAAAAAAAAAAAAAAAGAGAAAATTGGCAAGCACCTTCCTTAAGTTGCCAAAGCAGGTGACAAAATAAATACAAAGTCAGGAGAGAAGAGGTCCTCTGCTTTGTGTTCCAGCATCTTCAGCTATCGCTATAGGAGACACAATAGAAATTTCTCTTCTGCATTATTAACTTTGTTAATTTGCCTCTTTTCTGAGAGATCAGCATAAGAGTGCAAGATAACTTATGCCCAGTGCCAAAGTACAGTGAAAATACAAGGAAATAAAATGGTAATTACTATGAGGCTAAATGACTAAATACTCAGAGGGCAAATACTCTAAAAGCATACAAAATTGCTGTGTATGAAAATGTATTTACTTATTACTTCATATGCAAACAACTTTTTTTTTTTTTTGTAGCAGTAAAGATCATGTTAACTGCAGATTAGAAAGCACATCTTACTCCCTGCTGAAAAACACCACCAACAAAAATAAATGTTCCAAAAACGGGGAAAAAATATAGTGCCTGGTGGCTGACTGCTTTGGTACATGCTGGCAATGCAGAGCGGCTCTACATGCCTTGACCTGAGGAGAGCCCCTCTGTGGTGGGGGACTGTCTTCAAGGCATCTAAAAGCATTTTAACTCCTAAATTAATCAACCTTTTCTTCACGTTCTATGTGAACAGAAGGTAGGATGCTATCTAAGACAGTAGTTCTCAACTTACCACTGGTTCTGGGCTCGTAACACCACTGGCAGTTGCTCTGATTGAGGAGTACCAGCAAAGGCATTCAGCCAGTTTTCCAACATCTTTTGAGTGGTCATCAATGGCCTCATGGTTTAGTGAGATCCTCGTCCCTACCTATTGCTGCTTTTAGGTGTGGAGGCACCAACACTGATGCTGTCTTGCAGCAGATGAGGATTTATAGACTGAAAGAGTTAGTGGTGGTTTCCTGAAGGCCACACTATATGCATTTCAGGATTGCTTTAGATGGACTCTACTCTGGTGCTGTGGATTGAATGCCCACTAACACTTAGAGTGAGTCTTCTGCTTTAATTTTATTAGTCAGGATTCCAG